CCACCTTAGGTGTACGTGGCTGGCGCCTTAGCCGGTTGAGCTATAGGCGCCGAGCCCACAGTTATGATTTAATAAAAAAAAATTAAAGAATCAGATTTCTGAAAAGGAAGGATTCAGTGGGTTAGGAAAAGCAAATATAAAATTATGTCCTTTGCAACCTGATCGCACTCATGAAGAAAAAAATTCATCTATTTCTAATTCTAATTCACCTTTAAACAGTGTCTCCTTTTTACTGTTATTCTAGAATGTAATTTGCATAAATGTGTCTGTTCTCACTAGCTTTGTTGAATAGGCATTTAGTTTAACAAATGAGGTTTAATTTTAGCTATTCAAAAGTCCTTATGAAATTAGAGAATTTGTAAGATTAATTATGGTTACTTAGCTTAGTATTCAATGTAATACAATATTTGGTTTCTTTTACCAAATTAAGCTTCCTTTTTTCACACTAAAATAAAATCATTGCATTGTTTTTTAATTATAAGTTTGTTGTATTTAAGATTTGCTTAAATCTTTTTACTGTGCCATTTTTATTGCCATTTGATTATTGGAATAGCACCATATTTTTATTCCTTATATTTGCTTTAAAAAGCAGTTAGATTTTTACACATTAAAAAATTTTAGTATTGGCTCAGTGCCTGTAGCTCAAGTATGCCAGCCACATATACCAGAGCTGGTGGGTTTGTATCCAGCCTGGGCCTGCCAAAGGACAATGACAACTACAACCAAAAAATAGCTGGGTGTTGTGGTGGGTGACTGTGGTCTCAGCTACTTGGAAGGCTGAGGCAAGAGAACCACTTAAGCCCAAGGAGTTGGAGGTTGCTGTGATCTGTGGTGCCACGGCACTCTACCCAGGACAACAGCTTGAGGCTCTGTCTCAAAAAAAAACCTTTAGTATTAATTAAACTTAAGCTCTATCCTTTTTCAGAAAAGGGGCCCAAGATGCAATGTTGAAAAAATTCGGAGGGATATCTTTTCTTTAGAAAAATTTAAGGGTAATTGGGTTCTGAGGGTTTAAATAGTTGATAATACAAACTTTTATAACAACAATAACATAAAGTGTGTAGAATCAGAAAGGAAGAGTCCATAGACTTGATTAAAGGAGAAGAATTTTCTTAGAATGTGCATGTTGTTCAGTATTGTAAAATATTATCCTTTGTGCTTATACTTTTAAACTTGGAAATCAATAAAACGTGAAAGGCAAATCATGACACAAATGTAGGGAAAAATAGTTGCAAATGTATTAAGCCTTTAAATGTAAAGAAAATTCATAGGGGCTAGAAAAGTAAACCTCAGGTTAGGGAGATTTTCTACATATGAAATGTAGAGGCATTTAAGGAAAAGATTGGTAGGCTATCTCTGTTTGATCAAAGACACCATGAACAAAGCGAAAAGGCAAACAACAGACTGGGAAAAGTACTTGTAATAAAACAAAAAGGTTTTATAGATACTCCTATAAATTAATAAAAGATAAATGAACAACTCAGGAGAAATATGGGTAGGAAAATAAGGTTTACAAAACACAAATGGCTTACAAACATAACAAAACTAATTTGACTCAATAATCAAAGAAAATCAGCTCAGCGCCTGTAGCTCAAGCAGTTAAAGTGCCAACCACATACACCAGAGCTGGCAGGTTTGAATCCAGCCCCACCTGCCAAACAGCAATGACAACTACAACCAAAAAAATAGCTGGGTGTTGTGGCAGGTGCCTGTAGTCCCAGCTACTGAGGCCAGAGAATGGCTTAAGCCCTAAAGTTGGAGGTTGCTGTGAGCTGTAACGCCACAGGCCTCTACCCAGGGCAACAGCTTGAGGCTCTAAAAAAAAAAAAAATCATATTTAAACAAGTTATATTCATTCACTAGTTAGGTTGTTAAAAGAGCCCTGTATTAGTCAGAGTCCAGTCAGGAAAACATCACCCTAGGTGTATCAAACCTAGGGGATTTGTTACCAGGAGTTGGTTACGTGCTGGAAGGCTAAAAGAGCACAAAGGAATACTGAAGTAACCCAGAAATTAGAAACTACATGAAGCCACTTCACTGCTAAGGCTTGAGGGACACAGGGAGGACTGTAACCTTGGGCTGTGGAGGGGAAGCTATTGCAGGGCTAATTATTAGCATCTGAGAGTTCTCTGCTAGGCTGGGGGAGGGAGCAGTAGAAGGCCCTGAAGGAGTAGCTCCTATGTGCTGTGAGAACAGGAATCAGCAGGAGTGGTTTTTTTCTCTCTCATCTCTTCCACCTGCCAGTCTGTGCTCAGTACCTCTCTTTGCAGAACAAGACCCTAGCTGGGGTCTAGAAAGTATTGTTTGCAGACTCCCAGCCCCAATGTCACAGAGGCTTTGAAAACTAGAAACTGAACGTATCCATAGGTGCTTGTAGCCAGTTTTGGTGATGGGTGTTTGATGAGAAGGGCTTTTGCCTATGTTGTCTATGCTGAAAGAATAAATGGATTCTATTGTCTGAGAGGACAATTTGCTAAGACCTATGAAAATTTTAAATGTGAATTATCTTTGACTCAACAATTTTTTGACAGTCTATGACAAGAAATTTATCCAATAGAAAATTTAGCCCAAGTATGGAGACATATATGTAATATATTTATGATGTTTCATTGTGATTATTTTATAATTTCAAAAACTAGAAATAGCCTAAGTGTCCATCATTAGTGGATTGACTGAATATATTGTGGTATGTCCATTTAATGAAAAACATGATCATAAAAAAAAATAAAGAGTTTTACCTGTGTTATTGTGTGATAAAAGCAGTGTTATATGTGGTCTGAAATATTTTGACAAATCCAAGAGAGTCATAATGTTGAATCTAGTAAGATGTTTCATCTACTGCAAATTTATTTAGAGGTAATTTATACAATGTTTCCTGTGGTGTTTGTTTTTTTTTCTTGACAGTTATGAATGCAGGAATGAGGAAGTACTTCCTACAAGCCAACGATCAGCAGGACCTTGTAGAATGGGTAAATGTGCTGAACAAAGCTATAAAAATTACAGTAAGTATTTTTGTATTTTTGAAAAATTTTCAATGTCTGGAAGTAATCTTTATGTTTTACAAATATACTTACTGAATGTCTCCCACTTATCAGTAGGTTTCATACTCTAGCTTTATTTAAAACACAGGTATTTAGAATGTGACTACATTTTCTTGTACACGGTGACTATCAGCTCTTTAATCAATCCATGGGTGCCTTTTTAGCCTACCGAATACCTAATAAGAATATATATTACAGTAGATCCTAACTACTGCTTGTAATGATGTTTCTAGATGGAAATGAACTTAGTATATAGGGTTCTACCTTCAGAACATATATATATATATGTATATATATATATATACTTTTCTGGACTAGTCTGAGACTTCCTGCCACTTACCCAGGTCATAGAAATAGGCACTCGTGTCTTCTAAACCATGACTGGGTCTGGTGTCAGACAGGGTAGGAGTTGAATATAAGAGCAGAAAAGGGGAGATTAAGGCTAGAAATGAGGGGGGGGAATGGAGTCTGAAGAGTTGTACAGCCAGATAGTCCCGTCCATGTGCCCCTGAGGAGTCTGTCTCAGGCTCTAAACTTCCTCTCTCAACTGATTTCCCCCGAGTTCTAGGGCTTGGTGCCCTCACCCTCCTTTCCACTGCTACAACTTCTTGCTTCCAACCGGGCTTCTTTTCTTTTTGATTTTCTTTTTCTTTTCTTTTCTTTTCTTTTTTTTTTTTTTTTTTGAGACCGAACCTCAAGCTGTCCCCCTGGGTAGAGTGCTATGGCATCACAGCTCACAGCAACCTCCAACTCCTGGGCTCAAGCTAGTCTCCTGCCTCAGCCTCCCAAGTAGCTGGGACCACAGGCGCCCACTACAACACCTGGCTATTTTGGTTGCAGCTGTCGTTGTTTGGCGGGCCTGGGCTGGATTCGAACCTGCCACCTCAGGTGTACGTGGCTGGCACCTTAGCCACTTGAGCCACAGGCACCAAGCCTTCTTTTTGATTTTCTGATGAACATTAGCATTTATTATTTACATTGTGCCAGGTGTTAGACTGAAGGTTTTATTCAAATTATCTGAGAAAGTGAGACTTAGAAGGATTGAGTGACTTTTGCAGTTTTCATAGCTGATGGGTTACAGAAGTGGGAGCCCACCCAGTCTGGTTTGTTGGGCTCTAAATCAAGAACTCTGAAGTGCAGTGCCTTACGGCTTCCTGAACAAAGAGCCTTCTCCTTATTCTTTTGTTCCTAAAGCGAAAAACAAACTTTACTCAGAGCATTTACTACTGATGATGACAAGCGAGTAGACAGGTTCTATTCCAATCATACCTCACCTCACCCTTTTCCCTTTCCACATTTGTAGAGAAACACATAGTAGGTGCACTTGGAAAGGGTAGGGAGGGAGTTCCTATGTGAGTTTCTGTTGATTGAAGCATGTTTTTATGGAAGTACAGTTAATTTACTGATCCTCAGTGACTTATTCTTATGGAACATTTGTCCTGAAAGTCAGCATGTTAGTCGCTTGTTAGTTTCCATATAAAAATGAATGATTCCACTTATTTTCACAGCACACTAAAGAGTTAATATAGCTAAAGCTGTTCTCAGAGTTAAGTCAGATTTTTTGTCTTGTACTAGAACAGCTTGTTACCACATGACAGAAAACGCCCACACGCTACATCTGATCTGTACATGAAGCCCAAGTTATTTTAGGTTTCTGCAGTTTCAGGAAAGCAGTTTTTGGAAGTGATTCAGACATACATATTTTTAAAAAGTTTTAGCTGATTGTTTTTACCTCTTTTAGTAAATATTCCCTACTTGGAAAATTTCTTTAAGAAACAATATCTAGTAACTTTATTAGTTTCTTAGTGTTTTTTTTTTTTCTTTTTTTTGGCCAGGGCTGGTTTTGAACCCGCCACCTTTGGCATATGGGGCCGGCGCCCTACTCCTTTGACCCACAGGCGCCGTCCTAGTTTCTTAGTGCTTTAAGAGAAAAAGTGAATAGTGTCGGGTCTTTTACTATTTGAGAGTTTCTTGAATTTCTGTGTCGAAGGTATTAGTGATATGAAACAGTCTTATACAGATGGCACTGTAAAGATTTTTAACATAAAGGAGAAGTACATTAGGCATTAGGCAGCATTTTAAAGTATGTGGTCTTTTAAATAGCTTTTATGGTTCTTGAAGCTTTATTTTACATGACGAAATTTCAAGCTTTTATGGTAAATCTGTTGGCAAGTGATATTCATGTTTTTGTAATTCACATTTATAAAATATAAATACATATAAGATTGAGAAATCCTTAGCTCATCAATAAAGTGATTATAACTATGTAAAGTGAATATAGAATTGATAGCGCTTATTTAAAATCAACTTTAGATAAATACACATTTAATTCTTAAGATAGTAATGAAAGAATTTCCTATGCTTGAATAAGATACCTTTTATGTTAATTTTATCCTTTAAAAATATTATTGGGTTTAATTATTATACATATGCATTTTATACATTTAAGTGCACTAAAGTATGGAATCTCTAATTTGTTATACTTTCCTATGAAAATTGCTGATGATTTACATGTAGATTATTTGACAATTTAAAGTTTACATTTTAATATATGTGCAGTTTACCTTTCTGTGAAATCATTCCAAATGACGTTTTGGTTAACTATGTAATTTAGTGGTCTCCAGAATATTATGTGATATATGAGCTTAAAATTTTTGAAAATCCAAAATTAGGACTTGGAGTTGTGTGGTTTCATAGTAGAGGTGCTTAGAGGGTAGTGGGTAAGAAAATGGTGATTATTTAACTATTTCATGGTTATAATATCTAGCCATGTTAATAAACTATCCTCCCATGTAGACTGTCAACGGCATCTGTGACTTTCTTTACTTTCCTTAAGTTTATGTGGATGCCATTTGAAATTCTTTTCCCATTACAGATGCTTTTTGACTTATGATGGTTTCATGTCCCAATAAACCCATTAGAAGTCAAAAATATCCTAAGTTGAAAATACATTTAATATCTTGATGAACTCATTATAAAGTTGAAAAATCATTAAGTTGAGCGATTGTGTGTGAGAAAAAAATGTGCCTCCAACACTGAGAAACCCGTCATAAAGGTGAGCCATGGTGACTGGTACCATCTGTGTTTAAAAACACAAAAAAGGAACAAGTGCAATAGTAGAGAAATCAATCTTGAAAGGAATGACTAGAGTTTGGAGAATTAAATTTTAAATGATGCTTTCAACTATTCATTTATATTTATAGCAACATAAATATGCTGGTCTCTGGTCCCTTATTGATTGTTACGAGATATTGAAGATGTATACGTTATATACAGCTTATTCCTAAACAGAAATCCACTATCTTTTATGTATGTGTCTTTTTAAATTTAAAAATCAGTATTTGATTTGTGTCCATAAGTTAGTCTTTTGAAGTTGTGACAAAAACTCCGTAAGTTTTATTTTTATTTGAATGGCAACTGGGAGCAAGTAGAGAATAGGCTGGATGTGTGACTTTGGTTCTAGCGAAATAGTCTATATGCCCCAAAGCTAGGCCTTCTACTTTACACTAAGATTTTTCAACCAGCAAGTCAGATGTAGAGCTCTCAGAAAGGTAATAAGACCCAGGAGGTTGTTGTCTGAACATGATGGGTTTCCGTCTTCCAACTCTGTCATTATTCTTGATGAACCGAACATCAGCTTTCTCTTTAACTTTTGAGAAGTCTGCAACATTTGCATTCATTTTACTCACAAATACTTAAATCTGTTTTGTTTATGTCTTTATTCTGTAGTCATTTTTAACTTTTTCTACCATCAGAATTTCCTACTCTTAGGATGACATGCAAAATACCTGCCAAGAATACATTTGTCTCTCCCTTAACAAAGCACAGTCACGTAGGAAAGGATAGAAGCAAAGAGAAAGGGAGGAAAGGCAGTCGACAAGGAAACCACGCAGACTGCATGTCTGACACTGGCTCCCTGCCCAGTGCGGAGGCCAAACAGTTGGCCAATTTCAGAGGATGGAGGGGTCCTGAAAATTCTTATCTTAACAGCTGAATTTAGACTGACTTTTCATTCAGAGTTACCTATAATTATTAAGAGAGTTACCGATATTTGTGGGTATTTTGCTTGTATTTTTCATGTTCTTAGGGAATAAGATGAATATAATTTAGATAATTTTATTGTAAAGCGTAATTCTAATTATTAGATTCTAACATTGGAATTAGGCTCTTTTAGCATTAGATTTTATTATAAGGACAAATTAGAAGCAGTGGGGTTAATACCATAAGCATGGATTTTTAATAGACTGTCATTCCTTTTTTTTTTCTTTCTTTCTTTTTTCTTTTTTTGTTTGTTTGTTTTTTGAGACACATTCTCACTCTGTTGCCCAGGCTACCAGGCTACAGAGCTGTAGCTTCAGCCTAGTTCACAGCAACCTCAAACTCCTGGGCTAAATCGATCCTCCCGCCTCAGCCTTCTGAGTGCTGGGATTACAGGCATCCACCATAGTGCCTGGCTAATTTTTCTATTTTTAGTAGAGATGGGTTCTCATTCTTGCTCAGGCTAGTCTCAAACTCCTGAGCTCAAGGGATCTTCCTGCCTTGGCCTCCCAGAGTGTTAGGTTTACAGTTATGAGTCACCACCCCTGGCCATATAGTCATTTCTGAAAGAAATGGAAAAACCAATATAGGTTTCAATATATTTTTAGGGTGATATTACAGGTTTTTTTGGGGGGGGGGCAGAGTTCCATGTATAGCTTAACTCTCAACTTCTTTTTTTTTTTTTTTTTTTTTTTTTTGAGACAGAGCCTCAAGCTGTCCCCCTGGGTAGAGTGCTGTGGCTTCACTGCTCACAGCAACCTCCAACTCCTGGGCTCAAGCGAGTCTCCTGCCTCAGCCTCCCAAGTAGCTGGGATCACAGGCGCCCGCCACAACACCCGGCTGTTTTTTGGTTGCAGCCATTATTGTTGTTTGGTGGGCCCGGGCTGGATTCGAACCTGCCACCTTAGGTGTATGTGGCTGGCGCCTTAGCCACTTGAGCCACAGGCGCCAAGCCTATTTGTAAATTCTTGTCTGCATTGTATATCTGCTTATCCACAAACCTGGCGGGATCAGCAGCATATGAAAAGAGGTTTGGGAGCAGTGTTTCTCAAACTGCGGTTTATGAAACACCTGCCTCAAAAACACCTGGTATTCCTGCTGGAAGTACAGTTTTGGGGGCTTTACTGTAAATTTATTGAATTGGAATTTTTGGATATGAAGCCTAGGAATCTTACATTTTTAATAATGTTCTTGGGTGATACTTTATGTATACTAACTTGTGAGAAGCCACACCGCTTTGGGATCATACTAACAAATGCTTGCATCTTTGAAATACAACGTAAATGGTGTCTTCTGTAGCTCTGCCAGTATCCTGTTAACAGGGCTTAGCCATGTGACAGGAAAATTATTTAATTTTAAGGTAAATATTTTTATATCACTACCTTTGTGATTGTCAGTAGTATTTGTCATAATGTTTCTGAAAGACTGTAAGATCCCCAAATACCATTTAAATCATTGGGAAGACATTAAATCATGCTGAACGTCATAATTGGTGACGAAAGTATTTTATTATATTTTATTCACAGGCTTAAAATTTATAATTCAAATACAGACTATGTGCTTAACAGTCTGTAGATAGAAATGATGATTAGCCAAGTACCTTATTCCCTAATTAGGCCACATAAGAAAGAAAAGTTAAAATACATGTTCAGTATTCATGATACCTCTGACTTTGGATTCCACTTTATCTTTTTTTTTTTTTTTTTTTTATGTGACAGATTCTTATTCTGTTGCCCTGGGTGGAATGACATGGCATCATAGCAACCTCAGACTCTTGGGTTCAAGTGATCCTATTGCCTCACCCTCTCAAGTAGCTGGGGCTCCAGGCATCTGCCAATACACTCCGCTAGTTTTTTTTGGGGGGGGGTACCCTATTTTTTTGGTAAAAATGGGGTCTTGGTCTTGCACTCCAGAGCTGAGGCAGTCCACCTGCCTTGGTTTCTCAGAGTGCTGGCACCTGAGGCATGAGCTGCTGCACCTGGCCTTGATTCCACTTCAGTATTAATATACAAGGCTCACTGTTGCCACAATAATTGTTTGTTTATACTTGTGAGTGATTTACTGTTGATACAGGTATTAGAACTCCTTCTTTATTATGTATGTATATATTTATTTACTTTTTTATTTTAGACAGGGTCTCACTCTGTTGCTCTGGGTATTGTACAGTGGCATAACTATAGCTGGCTATACCCTCAAACTCCTGGGGGCCCAGGGGATCCTCTTGCTTCAGCCTCCCAAGTAGCTAGGACTACAAGTGTGCACTGTAACCCCTGGCTAGTTTTTCTATTTTTTTTTTTTTTTTTTT